TTAAGGAGTTGCTTTTCTCGTGCTGTCGACATACGAAATGGCTGAAGCAAAACAATCCCTGAGTTCATCTCTCACACTGAGAAGGCTTCAATGGCATTGATGAGCTCCGGATTAGGGTCCTTGGAAATCTGTCACTGTTGCTAGCAGAGGACGCCTACCCTCCCCAGAGTAGGTGCAGAGCCTCACACACAGAGGACTCACTCGATTCTGCTACACTGGGACATTCCCACTGCCTAGGCAGGGGTGAATGATGCCTTGTTCCGGTTCCATTTTATTTTACCCAATTCCCCCAAATTCCATCCATCTGAACATTGAAATCCATAGCTGCTCCTTCTCTTGGCTTGCCTCCTTAAGAAGCTGCCCATCTGCCGGGTAAGTTTGCTGGCCACTATCATTTGACAGAGGGGACAAGAATAAACAGGGAAGGTATTCTGCAAATGGAAACCAGGAAAAACAGGGGGAGAAGCAAGACTCAAATTAGCGCTTGGGTAGAGGGAAGTATGTTAAAATTCAGACCTTCTCCCAAGAGGAAAGAGCCAAGAGGACTCTCCAGACACACATACCGGCTGACCAATCACCCACACATAGCTCAAAATATAAATATGCAATCACATGCGGCTGACGAAGACCCTTTACTTTTCATTCTTCTGTTTCCATGAGTCCCCAGAATTTCATACTTCCCAGTTCATAAGCAATGTCTCAGTGACTACTGGGGATAAGCAGCATGCTGCTGATTTATTGCCTTACGTAAATCCAGACACAGAACAGCATTTTCAGCATGATTTGCACATATGGAGAGAAGCAAATTTTTGCCCAGAGCATGTTTATATTTTGAGAAAAATATTTCTTGTGTTTACTTGTCGGACAAGTAGCAAAAGCTCTTACTTTAGAAATCTAGTTTTATTTATTGGCTTTGTCCTTTACAGAATGCATCTTGCCTTTTACCGTTTGTTTCGAGATTATTTTTTTTTTAATTTCCTTTTCTTCTGTAACTGTAATTTACCATTAGAAGACACTATTTTTGTATTTACAGCTGCAATATATGACAAGGGATAAACAAGCCTTCATTACAAATACACAGGTACGGTGCTTTCTTCCTGAGCTACCTCAGAAATTCAATATGCCTAAGAGAACATAGTTTAAAAAAAAAGTCATTTTGGCTAAACAGAAAACTCTCTGTGAAGGCCAAAGGCACAAAATATTTATTACTAAGTAGAAAGCACTCTTTCATATTGGCTAAAAAGCAACACTTTAATAAACGTTCATTTCTACCCTGTAGTAAGGCTGGCCCATCTGGTCTAATGACAAGAGAAGGATGAGCATCAGTAATAGGAATTGCTATTCTGGAGGTACAACAGATCCAAAGCTCATAGAAATTAAATGGTAGCTTCAGGCATATACTTAGAGTTTGGTCTTTTTTCTTGCTGAAGAAGTGACTTTTGGGGCACAGAAAGGTCTCAAATCTCCTCTCTGAAGAAATCGTAGTTTTTGCTTTCTTCACTCAGAAACTCTGACATAAAGACAGGAAAGTAAAGAAGTTCTACAATGATCAGCCTCCTAAGATACATAATGAAGTCACCATATGCATTACAAAATATGGTCTAATAAATTGATGATCTGCAGACCTGATAAGGAAAATTTTTCCCCCCATCAGCACTTTTCAAACAAAAAAAACAGGAGCCGCTTTCATTTGTCAAAGTCAATGACAAAAGCTAATGAAAATGCAGTGTATCTTCTAAATCTGCAATTTTTTCCCCCACAAGAATTGCTGTTCATCTGGCACATCACACGCTGTTAAAATGGTGCAAAAGGAAAACTTGAGATCAGTAGCAATGCAGCTAGTGTCCTGAAAGGTCTGTCAATACTTCCTTAGAACTAACAGACACAAACAGCTTTAGTGATGACATTTATTATCACTTTACCACCACCATACATCATCCCGCATTGCTGTTTGACTTGACCACCCTCTCAGGATATTCTGATCTCACTCTGTGCTCTTACTCTGAGCAAGTATTTAGCAGGATTGTGAGACTGCATCTTTACATGAAAAAAAAAAAAAATCACATTTAAAGCAGTAAGGATTCTGTAAGAGCTGGTTGCAATGGCCAGTGATGCACATTCTCCAGCATGCAAGCCCATAGCTATTGAATGCAACCATCCCCACACAGCCAAGTGCTGCCTCTGACCTCTGTGCTCCACGATACTCTCAGGCTGACTCAGGTTTAAGGGGGTTGTATTAGCAGATGACCTTAACAAATTTCTAAAAGATAGCACTGTCAGTCAACTAATTAGGACCCACCTGCAGCTGGGTGCATGAACACAAGCCCTGTGGTCTGTCCAGGGTGGGAGGGGGCATTTGCAAAGCGTAGCTGCTCTTACAAGAGCTGCTGTCTCACAGAGAGGATGGCTCTAGCTGTCCCCACTAACGGGCTCTATTTGGCCCCACTAACAGGCACACCTGATTTCAGTGCACCTGTACAGCTGGGGAGGTAGCAAACTTTAGATCTGAGACATCTTAAAATTGGTCATTACCAACTGCTCTGTTACACTATGTTTACTGTCTCAGCTTTACTGTCTCAGCATTACACATTGGCATTTCCACATGGAGGCAACTTGCACAACATGCTCCAGGGCTGGTAGCACCCACATTTCTCCAAATACCAGGAACCTACCATTGGAAAATGCTGCATGCCCAGCATATAAAAGAACACCACCACCACCCCAAAAAACCCAAACCAAAACAACCAGCAACAAAAAACCCCAAACCTGTCTAAATCCTTCACAAGGATGTGGGAGAATATCCTACCCTGGTGATTGCCCATTTTTGCCCACACGCTAAACGCAATAGCTTACACCTTTTTCCATTGCACTTTCTTGAAAGGAAGAGTAAGTACTACAGGAGAGCCAGCTCATCCTGTAACCGAGCTTCCCACAGATCACCTTGCAGTTACATGTTCACATGCCCTTGTCCTCAGGTGCCTAATTGGGAAACACCTGGCTTGGACAGCCTGATTCTCACAGTGCAAAGATAAGAATAATAAATATTTATAACTCAACTAAGCAGAAAAGAGAACAGTTTGCGTGACTTGCTCCAGGCTCACTGCCTGACTCAGTCGGAGGGCCAGGATTAAGTTTTAGGAGTTTCCCACTCCCAGGTCTATGGTCAGCTTACCAGCCTGTGCATCGTCAGGATTTTTGCCTCATGCCCTGCTGCAGAAGAATGGTGAAATGCAGCTTTCTGTGCTGTTATGATTCATCTAATCTTTTCAGATTTATTAGGTACAACAGATCAGTAACATAAACTTTATGGAGAGCTTTCATTTGTTAAGCAATCAGTTCCTGTCTCTAATGTTTCAGCAAAAGCGTGGTCAGTTTTCTGGTTCGAGCCTGCAACAGACTGCCTAAGTTTCATATCCTGTATTTTCAGTGCCTTTCGGGGCTAAAAGCTATGAAACAGCAAAGCATACAGAGAATAAACCCCCTTCTTTCCTCATGGAACAAAGCAAATCCTCAGCACCAGCAGACAGACGAGGTTTTTGTAGATGTCCACGTAAGTCACAGGAATGACTTACAAGACTTTGACCCAGCGTATCCACATAGCTGTCCATCCCTGACATGGCAAAGATTTTTAGTTTTGCCTATGTGAGAAGGGATTAGCTTCATACTTCTACTTTAGAATTCCTCCTGTGCACACATGCTACAACACTAACATCGCTCTAGTCTAACACACCAGCGACTTTTTAATGGCATTCATGGCATGATAACATTTTAGCATTTGCTTGAAGATGTGATTTACTGTGAAGTCAAATAAAGCTTACCTTAACATCCGAACAGCTAAAACTAGTCTAAACTAAATGGGAACACTCTAATCATCTGTCTTAAGACTCCTGCAAACAGTGACACTTTATCACATTAGAATTACAGTTTTTTACTAAAAAGGAAACTTGTGACTGATGTGCAACATGAGAAAAGGCTCAGTACTATGTGGTGACAGAGCTCATGCAGAGGGCTATGTAGATGTTTATCAGCAGTGTAGTAAAAATGCATGTGAAGAAGCAGTACTTTTCTCCCACAGTATATCCTCCTGAAACAGATAATTGATCTTCTCAAGAAAGCTGCAGGACTCCAAGATTTACTGTGACTTTTGGAAACGCGCAGAACATCAGCCTGGCCTTGACAGTTCGATGCTCTGGCCAAACCCTGCTGCACTGTAGTGCTCTAGGACCACCCAATTGGTCTCATCTTGTCAATGGGAATACAGGAAGGGAACCTTCTCCTCCTGCCTCAAAGAACAGTGGTTCTACTTCACTCCTCAAAAACTCCACCATAAAAGATAAAAAGGGTGTTGCTTGAGTACTGCTGTATCGCAGTGCCCTGTGATTGCCGTCTGGCTCCTTCGGTTGCTTTATTTAGAGAACGGGTGGAACAGGAAAGTTATTTTGATTTATAACCCCCATAATTTTTTCTGTTTTGTAACAAACATGGCCCAACCATGTACAAGCAGTCTAGCTCCAGGATGCTCAGAGGTCTCTTGCCCAACAGGTTCAAATACTTGGCTCCATGTTCTGTATGAGAAATGAGCAGTTCAGGCAACCCTTAAAAATAAATACTTACAGCACTTGGAAAATTAATAGTTTCCAAATTCCAAGGGGGATTAAAAAAAAAAAAATACTCACTACGCATTCCCATTGAAGAAAGTTTTACAGCCACTATTTCACACCATGTTCCCAATATTCTCTGATGACTGAGAAGGAACGGTGTAATTAAGAAACCCCCACCTAGGCACTTTCAGTAAGAATCTGGCCAGACATCTTTTTAAAGAGACTGACATATATCCTAATTGCTTTTTGAGACGATGAGAAGCTCTACAATTACCATGTGTATTTTGATCTTCACTGATACCTAACAGCTGCAGGAAATTACACACTGCACCATACCTGCTGTAAGCTTATCCCTTTTCTATCCTGTTATTAACCATTCTCCTTTTTGAACTTGCAGCGTCTCCTACTCCAGCCACCAAAATGGAAGAAAATGCCAACACCAGCTTCGAAGAAGATTTTGAAGGACAGGCGACACACACAGGCAAGGAAACTAACTGCACTTTTTTTTTTTTTTTTTTTCCTAAAAATAAGCTGAGCTGTCCCTGTTCACTGAGGAAGCCCAGAATTCAAGTAGGTCCATCTGGTTTGCCAAACCCCTTGCACAGAAACATAGGCTCCAAAGCCAATGAGAATGTATTTTGGACTAAGTGACACCCCTCACGGAAGGGCAGGTAACACCAAACTGATCTTTACACCAATCCTCCTCATACCTGAAGCAAATGGCAAACGCAGAAGTCAACTGAAGAAGCCACCAACAGCAATAGCCCAATGCCGGTAGGTCTTGTTGGTTTATTGCTTCAGTCATGAACAGTGGCCTTTCTTCTTCTGGGGAAAACAGAAGAAAACAAAAGAGCAACAAAAAACACTCATACGCTAGAACTAGGTTATAAGGTTTCACTATAAAGGCTGCATTATTTTTTCCTTCTTATAGAAGGAACATTCAGTGCTAAAAGTGAACCTATAAATCCTTTTGGCAAACACAGCATAGCATTTAAAAGCTTTAAAAGCATCCTTGCTCAGAATCACAATTCTTTTTAATCCAGCACTCAATCACCATGATTTTTATGAGTACTGACATTGTATTCAGCTCTAAAGACAGGTATCACTTCATCCCACCCCACCAATAGGTAACTATATGGCAATCATTCCCTCCCTGTGCTCCAAGAGCTTCTTTTTTTGTGTTATAATAAATGTAACTCTTGTAATAAGTCTTTCTAGGGTTCCTTCTGAACCAGCCTTGCTGCTGTTGGCTAAGATTATTATATACATATATTCTTTGAGGGACCCAAATGTAGGGCACTACATCCACACCTAGGCTTCAAAATAGTTTTTGAAATCACGCTACTGTACTGGTATCACTATGCCAAGAGGTTCAGGCCAATTCCTGCTTTGGAATCTTGTTTACAAAAGATCAGGTCACCTTCCCTTTCCACCAAAGGGTGTAATGCCTTTAGCCAATACTTCAAGATGTTGAAATTTAATCCAAAACAGCGTCTTGGCAACGGGCAACACCTCATCTCTCTCATGAGAGGGAGAGCTGCTTACCTAGCCTTTTCTAAATTTCCCATAGAAATAAATTCTGAACACACGAAAATATTCCTTGTTTTTGCTTTATAATCTAAGATGCAGATTAAAATGTTTCATTTTAAAAAACACCACTGGAATTTTGAAATTTTTTTTTTCCCCATTTCAAAATTTAACTCCTTTAATGAAACAGCTCCAAAGACCAAGAACTGCATTACAATCAGAATTATCATAGTATTTGCCTCACAGGTTACTCTTGCAGTGGAACATGTATGGGCTTAAAAAAAAAAAAAAAAAAAAAATCTCAAGAGTCCTGTATTCTCTGTTTTACTCAAGTCCTTAAGCATATTATGTATTCAAATGCACTGTCTATAGAGAAATGCAAACATACTTCTACAAAACAGTAGCTTTGGCCAACATGTACATTTTAACAGGTTTCAATATCCTCATCTTTGTTAACAACTCATGGAGTTCATCAAGATTCTTTTACAGGATTCTGATAGGAACCTGACCACCAAAGTGATCCAGGTTAGAAAAAAACCCTCTTTCTTTCTTTTGAAAGCTAATGTAACACATTGGTCCCAAAGCTCTTGTTTTCAGCACTCTTAGAGAGCGCTCTGTAAGGAAGAGGGGCAAACAGATAAACTGCAGCACAGAAGGACAAACCAGCAAAGAGCAGAAACTTCTTAAGACAGCTTCTTGTGGCAGCCAGTTTCTCATCTAACTTCATCTCTTTTAGGGCCCAAAGGTGTGATCAATGACTGGAGGAAGTTTAAATTAGAAAGTGAAGATAGAGACTCCTTATCCTTGAGCAAGAAAGAAATTCTTAGACAAATGTCTTCACCACACAGATCTTTCAGTAAAGACGATAAAGACACCAGAGAGAGATTCTGCCGTAAGGTAAGAGAAGAAAAGCAAAATAAATTAATTTTGATTCTATGTAAAACATATCGATTATATGCCAGAAAATCCTGAATTTGCCAGACTCAATTCCTTTGCAACTTAGCAGAGCTCACACAATACAGACAGAACAAATGCACGTCTAACCATCTATTCTCTCTCAAGAAAAATCTAACTTCAGTAAGACAAGCAGTATGTTTCACAACAACGTATCACACAACACAGAATTTGACCTTTCTTCCTCCCCTCCTTGCCTTAATGCTCTATCCTTGGTAAAGGCAATGGAAAATTTTTTAACATGTTTAAAAACCTACTAGTCAGGATAGAGCTCTGAGCCTGAATGTCACTCATTACCATTTACCAGTTCTGAAAGGGGGGGGACCCAAAACCCCCAAGAATTAAACTTTGACCCCACTACAGTCACTGGCAAAATTCCCACCAACTCTGGAAGATCCAGATCCTTTTTCCAAATACAGCAACTGCCTTCAAGACCATCAAGTTGACATGCAAGTGTTGAGACAGGATCTTCACCCGTCTCTTGAAGAAACCTTCCAAAGTCACTGTAGGAAGTGACTGCACTTCCACCTAAGCTTTCATTGTGATGTTCTTTAGACAACAACTTAGTCTCTTCCTGTGTCAGCGCCAATAGACTACCACTTAATATAACATTCTCTCAATATTCACAGATGAGCATGCAGGAGTATGAATTAATTCATGATGAGCAAGAAGATGAAAGTTGCCTACAAAAATACCGCAAGCGCTGCATGCAGGATATGCACCAGAGGCTGAGTTTTGGGCCAAAATACGGTTACCTGTGTGAGCTGCAGAACGGGGAACAGTTCCTGGAAGCCATCGAGAAAGAACGTAAAACTACCACCGTCATCGTCCACATTTACGAAGACGGCATCAAGGGCTGCGATGCTCTTAACAACAGCTTGACCTGCCTGGCGGCTGAGTACGCCACTGTGAAGTTCTGCAAGATCAAGGCCTCCGACACAGGGGCTGGAGACCGCTTCTCAAACGAAGTGCTTCCCACTCTACTTGTCTATAAGGGTGGGGAGCTTCTGAGCAATTTCATTAGCATTTCTGAACAATTCAATGAGGAGTTTTTTGCTGTGGATGTGGAGTCTTTCCTAAATGAGTATGGGCTGCTACCTGAACGGGAGCTTCCAGGACTGGGAAATGGCAACACGGATGAGCAAGATGTTGAATAATTAGAAAGCCATAGTCCTCACTGTCTCCCTTTCCTCTTCAGCATGTTGTAAATCAATCCCAGTAACACCCATCTCATTTACAGAAGGCTATCTTTGCTAACTTACTTGTACATTGCTTAACTGTTAGTATGTGAATTTTACTTAAAACACATACAACTGGCAGTCCTGTATATAATTACTTCTGCATCAGCCACAAGTAGTAGCAAGAACAGGAGATTATACTGGTGATCTCTAAGACACTGAGGAAAAAAAAATAATTAGAAATTGAGGGCCCATGCATGTCTCCACTAAGCACAAGAAGAACTTAATTTCATTGGGAACAGGACTGATCCATCCCTTTGCATACACAAAAGCCATCTCCGCTCTCTGGAATTACGGTGAGTCCTGGCTCCTCAGATTCACTTCTACCGACTTCAGTAGGAACAAAATTTCATCTAACAGTTTTAAGGACAAACAAATAGCCTGATGTCCTTGCAATCCTAAATGGCTTAGCTATCTAGGACATTATTTTATGCTTCTGCACTTAACTTTCAATATTCATGAAAATAAAGAGGTTAGCTCATCGCTTCTGTAAGTTTGTCATTCAAACAGCTAACACAGACACATTATCAGCTATTTTCTGTTCATTGTTGCTCCATATTTTGAACAGTAATATTTAAAATGTCTGTGAGTTACTGAAAAAGTATATTGTGCTTATGTAATAACTCTGAATAAAGCTTAACAGCTCTCAAAACTTGCCATTGGAAGTGTGAAATATATTAGTAGCGTATAACCGTAACCTTAAAAACATGTGAAATATTAGTAAACACTCACTAGACATTTACTAAACTTAAAGTCTTAAGTTTCACTAAAGGGATGCTGCCGAGAACTACAGTTTAACAATTCATCTGAGAAGACGACACAGGGTAAACTCACTATAAACCTTCCTCTCTCTGTAGGTGTAAAAAAATCCACATCCTCCAATTCTGACACAAGACAGCAAAACATTAGAAACATTTAAATGACTTCATTTGCAGACTGGCAAAACTGAAGGCTTAATTGTATTCTGATGATAGAAATACCTGTATCTTAACCGCACACAATTTTGCTGATAACATTTGAGATAATCAAAACGTTAAGGATTATTTTTAGTACTTGTATGACTTACCAGTTTTTATTTGATCTGACAATTTCACTTTTTGCTTACTTTAGAGTGGGAGCTTTCATATTTTGTGGTCAGGATCCCACCACAAAAACATCACCCTGTGAAATTCCGCACATGGATCAGTAAGAATTCAGAACTGAGTGGCCAGCACCAAGCAACTATTGCTGCTGTGATATAACCCACACATTAAAAGCAGATTCTTATCACTCTCTCAAACACATTTTTTCTCCAGTTTTCATTCACATGGAAAATTCACAGGGGTAGATGCAAGTTACACTGCTTTCCAACAGATCTACCCAACAAAATAATTCTACTCCAAAAGATTTGGGAAATACAACCCTGCAAGACATTACTGAAGGAGTCAAGATACTCTTTCAAACAAAATGATTTAAACACAGTTTATGTCTTTTTTTTTTTTACCATTATTTAAAACAAAATCTATTTTTTTTTGCTTGTCCAATTTTAGGGACTATCAAAATGTTTCTGAATTTCTACTTTCAATATTGTTTCGCCATGGACTCATATTTTAACTGAGCACTAGAAACCTCACCTCTTGCACACTAGGCAATACAAATTAATTTCCTTATCATACCTTGACAATGTGCAATCTTCTTCAACCTGTAAAACAATTCATGATTTTATTCCACCAAGAATTCAAACAGCATCTTCTCAAAATGCTGTGATTTCTGTGTTGTAAATTTCTGAATGCAAGACTGTCATAAGTTTTTCTGACAGAACTCCAGGTGGAATAAAGCTTTTCCCTGCTTAGAGCAGTCTTTTTTACCCTTACAGAAGGGTAAGGGCATGTTTACCCCTCAGGTAAAAGGGTAAGGGTATGTTTACCCCTCAGCTAAAATCACCTTCACCTTAACATTTCATTTGTATCAGTAGGTCAACTCTTCAGAAAGCTACCATTTGCAGATACACCTAACATTACGAAAGTCTCATGATCTTATAGCAGGTTACGTAGTAAATAATGAATTCTCTTCTACTACAAGAATAACCAGCTCCTTGAGCAGCAGGACAATATTTGTATTTTTTGATGAGAAGTTTTAAAGAAGAGGCATGAAAAATTTCTGTCCTCTACACACCAGAAAAACTCCACAGAACTGGTGGGAACTTAACATTCTTGAGAACTTTCCTTCACTTCTTAGAGAAACCAGACTGAAAGAAAAAAAAAAAAAAACACACCACCCTAACGAACAACAACCACCACAGAAACTACATTTATAGCTACTTGTAAGAAATAAGCTGACACTCCAATTTATGAGACAGATTAAGCATGCTTAAGCAGGATTTCCTTCAACCTGTAATTTAAAAAAAAGTACACACACATGTAACGCCAAGCCTCAACAGAAGCTCATGACTAATAAAGTTGCAAATAAAGCTCTGATCACAGCAGTTATCCGTATTTCTGCAGAAAAAAAACCCTTAAAAACAAAAAGCAAGACTTGACTCAAACACTGAACTACTGTTTGAAAATACTTGAATAACAAAAAGTAAATGCTTTATAAGCACATGGGAGCAGCCTTCCTGCTACCCTCAGCTACAGTTACTCTTTCTTTTGACTCAGAGTCACAGAAACCCTGAGTGTCCTCAAATATTCTGATGCAGACAAAAATGGAGGAGAGAAGGGAAATAATTATAAGTGGTGTCACTGCTGATCAAACAAAGAATGGAAGCTCTAGTAGATGCATGTCTGTTACTTGCATGCCAAATGCTACCCCTCATACATAAGGAATTATAAACCTCATCACTGAGGCTTTTTAAAACTACATTTTAAAACTACATAGCACAGAAAATAAGGTTTCTGTAAAATTATTCCATAACATCAATTTTAGAAGTACACTTAAAAGAGCCAGATTTTCAGATGTGGAAGTCCCAACCATTCCTCTAGACTCTTACATATTAAAATAAAAATCTATTTGCAGTCCTGTATATGAGTTAACAAAGCTCAATTTCAGCCACAATGGCGTTTTCACAAACTGAAAGATTCAGAAAGTATACAGGCAGCAGGAAAAGGATATATCTATATGAAACCTGAGCAAAAATTAAGCAGCATTCTAGAAATACTTATAAAAGGTTGCTTTCCTTTTTTTTTTTTTTTCCCCCCTTATATGCATCTTTTTGTTTTTCTAAAAGAACTTGTTTTCTTACATTATCAATGGCTAACAGTAGAAAAAGGATGGGAAGCAGGAGGACAATGACATCTCCTGTTGATTAGTTCTGTAACTCTTAGACTAGCGAGAACCTGCTTTCTTTTACATCCACTATTTCCTCATGGCTGGAAGTCTCAACCTGTAGATACAAGTCAAATTACTTATTTTTTCTTTGACAGGGTTAAATTATTTTCTTCTTGCACAACGGTGGTTAAATGCAGTCTCCTGTATTAAAGCACAAATCTCATGCAAAGCAACTTCTTTCTTTGCCTTCTTTCAACCTTTAAACCGGAGAACACACTTCCACAGATGCTTGATACCTAGTTAGTTATAAGCTGAAGGATTAATTTGACCATCTGCAGTTACACCATAAAGAAAAGGATGATTTACTAAACATTGAATAAGCTTGCAGGGGGAGAAGAAAAGAGTTCTTTGCTAGAGGATCCATGGAATAATACGTCCCAACAATCTACTTCTTACACCACAGGTGCTAAACAAGAACTATCAGAAGAGCACTTCATGACAGTTCTCTTCTCTGGTGTAAGATATTTAGCATCTCAAATTTTGCACTTTACTTTGATGGTTGAGTTCAAGGAACAGGCAACTACAGAATAACCGTTTTGTATTTTACCTCCAAAGGCATACCCCCCAAGAAAAAACAAACAAACAAAAAAAACCCAGAGAGACAAGAACGGGCAAAAGACAAATTTCTTTCTTCTCATTACTCCCCCGCTCCTCCTCCTAATAGAGACTTTAGCAGAGCAATTTTTAAACCAACCATATTTTGAAGCCTGTTACAAAATTCATCTCATTTTCTGGATAGCACTCGACTTCCTCCGGAATCAACGGCTTCTGCATAATGCCATTTCACCTATTGATTCCACCCATTTGCACAGAATAACACGCATCTATAAAACACGGCAGCTGAAGGGCTTACCTGAAAACAGTGCCTCCATTACATTACAACATTCACTTTCCTCTGAGAGGCCTTATTTGAGCAATATTGAGCACAGAAGATCAATACTGTGTTTCAAAATATAGTCACAATACTAAAAGCAGGTGTTTTTCCAAACATGTAAAAACACAATACACAGATGAGGCAATGGTATTTAAGATAACTTTCTCATAGTTGCCTTTTATTAAAAGTATCCCAGTACATCCTTAATTATGCTTTAGAACTGAAGTGTTTATATTTATTCTTAGTGTCCCAGTGCCTTCACACAAAAAAAGACATCTGAAGTGGTGAAGTGGTTTTAAAATGCCCTAAAATCTGAAATTCTTTTCTATTGTAGTTCAGATCCAAGTAAACATCGTATTTCATACACGATCTATCTTTATTAACCTTACTAGAATTCTTCCCTCCTTCTGCTCTCCTCATGGCAACTAAACAATAATGTTATTGCCTAACATACCCAGGGAAATATCTCATGATGGAAAGCTACCTGTTTATAGTCTAAAAATCCTGATTAGCAAATAATTTCGGCAGATTGCATGTATCTACAAGATAATCCACAAGGGCTGCCTAGATGTAGCTGTTGCTGAAATAGTTAATATTCCAAGAGAATGATGATTGAATCAGAGCTGCACAGAGAAATCGTCATCAAGAGCCACCGAGTAAAAGGTGGCATAAACACATCTCAAAAATTCTATACACTTCATTGGTTTCTGGGTTCTCCAGATTTTAAATTAAGCTATTT